ACGATATGGAATTTAATAATCGGTCAATATGTAGTATAAGGCAGTGGCAGAGTTGGGTAATAAAACCTACATGAAATGATAGAATACAAACGAAGACAAAGTTCTTCTATGGCAAAGTGTGTGCAAATGCTTCCCAAGGGTGCTATACGTAAAAGAAAAGAGAAGATCCCCCCCCCCCCCGGTCAATATGTAGAAGAGGGTAGTGGGTTACTTCCGAAACAATTTTAATATTTTTCTGCATGAAATCCACTGCTTTCTATGATTCTAGGCATTGTTCCTTGTGCAAATGAATTGTTGAGGAGATATGATCACCATCTCCATCAAAAATCTTGATTTGATAGCCCCGATAGCAGGGGAGGGGATGAAGTATATCAGGGAAATTATGGGGTAAAATAGGACCCCCGTGTGCCTAGCCAGGGGGCTATGACCCCCAGGACCCCTGCAGTAATATATATGCCTGGACCCCCGTAGTAGTATATGCAGTTAGAATGCACCCTTGCAATGTAAACAAGATGAGCAACTTAGCCAAAATTGGGGGATCTTCTCTTTCCTTTTACATATAGCACCCTTGGGAAGCATTTGCACACATATTGCCATAGAAGAACTTCGTCTTGGTTTGTATTGTTCTATCATTTCATGTAGATTTTATTGCCCAACTCTGCCACTACCTTATACGACATATTGTTCTAATAATCAATTGTGACACTTTTATATAATGTTGCATTACACCTTGGGCATCAGAATACAAGGTTTAGATATCAAGGGCTGGCTTATGAGAAAAGTTTACTGCTGTGACAACAGACTGTTGCAGAGCTAGATCTGTGTGTTTATGTCTAATAATCTGGCAAATGAACATTACAATAAGCAGATGGTATTTGAATCAGTAAATGTTTTGGTAGGAAACTTCATATAATAATAAAATAATAATATAAAGCCAATATCAACCCACTATCATTTTTAATTCATAGCAAAGTATGTTCTCAGTATCCACTCAGGAGGTTACTTGGTGTGGACATACATGAAGAACATAAACGTGATGTTTATGTACATGGGTGGGCATCATAACATATCTACAATCTATTAAGAAGGAAAACAAACTACATTCTACTTCAACATCAAATATACTCAAGTTAACATTTTGAAATAACAAAATAAAGCTCTTTGTTAGACTTCTTATTAGCTAACATGAAGTCCTTTAACTTGATTCCAGCCTCCTCAGTATCAATGAAACCATGTTGATTACAGTTTGCTAAATGAAGTTAACATCAGTAGAGGCAATTCCCCGTCACACACATTTGCCTGCCTGTTCTTTCCCCGCTTCTGATGTCATCTTCACCTACAGCTGCTTAAATGGCTGCCAGGCATGGTTGTTCATCTAAACATAATGTTTCCATATTATCTTATGAAATTATTGTAATACAGCATTATCAAATATTGCCACAATTGATTATCAAATATCTCTTTCAGTACATGATCTGAATTATATAAAAATACAACACTACAAGAGTAAATGTTATTCCATACTTGCTAATCAAAGACAATTCATAATGATGCAAATGATCACTGTGCACAAAAAAACAATCTAGACAATTTTGCTGAATATATGTAGTGGTGGTCTGTTAGCTTTTGCCTGAGCACTAGACTTAGACTTATATTCAAAGACACTTTGGACACCTTTTCCAATGGTTATCCTGAAATGCAGTCCCTGTCAGTTCTGACTGGGTGTTAAGTGAGGCAGCTCAATGGTAATTGACTGACAGGCTAGAGATGCTGGAACTTTCAGTCTAGCTATTTCAGTGGCACAAGAAAGTGTCCTGATGTAGGATGTAGTCCTAGATTTAATAATACCTACTATCCTTGCTAGGGAAATCAGTAATTAGAAGAAACTTTGTTTCTATCTGCAATTCAGGTTGAAAATACATTTGTCATGCTCTACAATTTTTTTCCTTCAACATTACAAAATGTCTATTATCAGTGTTTATCTGACTGATGTTTATCCCTTACAAACGTTTCTGTACTATCCAAGTAAAGTGTAAACTAACATTTGTTCTAATGACTAAAGTAAATGAATAAACACCATATCAAATATGAATAACATCTGTTACATTGGCTATTCATATTCATATTGGTAATTCTTTTACAGAACAAATGCACTTGTCAGAGACTAAGTCTGTCCCCAACTCCACGTCACAAATTTTATTCAACAATCTAAATTGCCGTAACTGGGTATGCCCACCGAGGCAAACTTTGTGTTCACCTCAGAATACATGGCAAGTTAAGAACTGGAACTTGGGAGCACCAAGTGGACTTGGGCTGCGGGCAGCACCTTCCAACAACTTTTTGTTCTCTACATGAGTATCATCTTCAATTTTCCCTACCTTAGGGCAACAATACTATAATGATATACCTTAATATTTAATCAAGTGTAATCTCTATTACAATCTCCATTCATTTTATTCGAAAACAACCATTCAGTCAAATGTATATGTTGGATTAAATCAAATATGGCTCCCATCCCAGTTTTATCACTGACTATATCTGAATACTTATGCACCATCTAATATGAATATGTTGCAAGTCATGCAAATCAAGGGAAATATGGGATGATGACTTATCTTAATGTGAAGTTCATATTCCGAATTATAATCTAGCGTTGAATCCAATATAAAGTAAAATACAATACAGTCAAGTAAACTAAACTGCCCACTGGTCAGCAACTAAAAAAAAA